CTTTTTAGTTATATTATTTGATGTATTTTTGTTAATAAATCTAAAAGAAAATAGCAGTCTTAGATGAAAAACTAAATTAAAATTGGAAATGTTGCTGTGTCAAGTGAAATTCATTGAACTACTAAAAATAACTAAATTAAATAAAACTAGTGCCGTCAAATGATTAATCGCATCCAAAATAAAAGTTTTTGTTTACATATATGTATGTGTACTGTGTATGTGTATTATATGTATATATAAATACACACACATACAGTATATATATTTAAAATATTTACATGTATTTACATGCATACATTTATATTCATATTTATAAATGTATATTCCATTTTTTATATATAAATATATTTAATATATAAACATCAAATTTTTCTTAAATATATACATGCATGTGTGTGTATTTATATGTACATAATAAATGTACACAGTACACACATATATATATATATTATGTAAACAAAAACTTTTATTTTGGATGCGATTAATCGTTTGACAGCACTAAATAAAACTAATGCTTACATCGAAATAAAAACTAAATAAAAGTATTTGTAAATATTTTTAAAAACAATGTAATACAAAATACAAAAACACATAACAAAATTACAACTACAAATAAAAATAAAAATGAAAACATATATAAAAATTTTATTCAAAATGTTGATAAAATCTGTAATAGTATGTAAATAATGAATTGAAACTGCTTTAGATACACTTGAATACATAATTTTTCCAGCAAGTATCAGTGATTGGTTAATGTATAATATACTGGAAGGTAATCACATTCATTTTAATATTTGTGATTTATTTAGATTGGCTATGTGAGTAAAGTGTTTGGGGGAGGACTGAATTGTTTGGCTTTGGCCGATCAAAACGCGACTGGTTTCATAGCTACAATCCATGAACTAGCTTCAGCAGAGAGGAAATTCTACTGCACCCTCAGTAAGGTGAAGAGCAAAATCCTGAGCCCCCTTCTAGCCCGTGGTATGTAACAGATTGTTTTACTCATTGCACATTTTGTTTTGAATTTGTGTATTGTTACTGTTTTTTATATTGTTTGTACCCACTCTGTTGTAATGTAGCAAGTTTGGCCTTGTCTCTGGGTCAGTCCTCCATGTTGCTGTTTCAAGAGATGGCTGGTAGTTTCAGCAAGCTTTGCCATCTGACAGGACAGCACTCGGTATCCCTCACCAACTTCCTGCAGCGAGGCAAAGTGATCAAAACACTGGTCTTGATCAAGAGCACAGACATTTTCATGGACACGTATAAAGAGTAAGTATTCAAACTCAAGAGACGTTAACATCTTTTATATTTTCAAATCTCTATGATAACATCAGTGATGATGTTTATCCTCAGGTACAGCGATCCAGTAGGAAACTTTCTTGTTATGGGAGGATTCCAGTCATTGCTGAAGCCCTCACAGTGCGTTTTCATACTCATTAATGTATCATCTATGGGCATCATTATAATATATGCAAATAATATATTTGGTCATGCATGATCTGTTTCTTCAGAGAATGCTTTGGGAAGAAGCTGGAGTTGATACAGACTCTGCTAGAGTCCAAGGAGAAGAATGCATCACCCTATGATCTGTTAGTCAACTTGTTTTATATGCCCTTGCAGCACCTGCATGGGTATAACAGATTACTTCTAAAACTAGCCCACTGCTTTGAAGTGGTAAGAAAATGATTTTCATTATGCTCTTTAAAGGAATGAAAGTGGCATAAAAATACATGACATAATCTTTTATTTTTTAGAACACTGAGGAATATGATTGGATTCAAAATGGCTGCTCCAAATATGAAGCTTTAGCCTGCCTTGTCAGCAAGCAGAGAAGAGCTGCTGAGGCCACTTTCAATTTCTGGAAGAACTTCAAAGGGAAGAATTCGGTATGGTGCAGAATGTGAATAATTAGTTGCAGTCCTGGCTTCTGATGATGTGCAGTAGTACCTGTCTGCCAGGTCACTGTGCAGCTCCCATAGCTGTTGTTTTTGTTGGATAGCAACATGCTTGTATATGAAGGACTACGTACATTACCATTTAAAAGTTTGGGGTTGGAAAGAAGTCTATTTATTTAATCAAAATGTATTTAATCAAAAGTACAATAAAACAGAAATATTGTGATATATTATTGCAATTTAAAATAGAAATATTGTAAAATAGTATTTGATATTTTTATTTGTATATATATTTTAAAATGGAATTTATTCCTGTATTGGCAAAGCTGAATTTGCAGCAGCCATTATTCTAGTCTTAAGTGTCACATGATCATTTGATGCTTAAGAAATATTTGACTGTTTTACAGTTTTCAGGATTCTTTGTTGAATAGAAATATCAAAAGAATAGCATTTATTTGAAATAGAAATCTTTTTTAACATCAGTTTTGATTAATGCATCCTTGCTGAATAAAAGTATTAATTCCTTTATAAAAACTTACTGACCCCAAACTTTTCTACAGTATATCCTCCAACTGAATTGTATTTTTGTTTCACAATAACGTCAATTTGCTTCTATCTTGCTGCATGTCTTGCTCTTTAGTTAAATTCACAATCGTTAGGTGTGCTGTCTAACATTTTAATGTTTTACAAACCTTTCTGTGCAGTAAGATTGGAAAATTCGCTTGTTTGCCCAGCAGCCATTTTAAATGTTTCCATTCAAATGCAAAAAAGAATTCATTTGTAAATGAAGTTGAGCGAACACAAAAAGCATATGAAGTTTTGACAGCTGATGCTTTAAGCATTCACATATATAACAAAATTCTCAGCGTGAAAACACTCTCATAAATGAGTAGGGATGTAACGATTCACTCAACTCACGATTCAATTCGAATCACGGTTTTGATTTCACGATTTGATTCACGTTTTTTTTTTTTTTTT